GCAAATCCAACTCCAAGTGGGCCGCTTCCGATACATTCTTCACGTACAGAAGAGCTCGCCAAATTTTAGGCCAGTTGGATGTGGCTTCTTCTCTTTTTTGCGTATGCATTGGTTGACAAAATTGCTGGGTATCCATTCGCTCTCAGTACCCGTCAAAGATGTTGTAATTCAGCAACTTTGTGTTACGCTTCGCTGCAATGCGTCTCAACGCGCGGGTAAAGCGCTCTTACGCAGCTGCGTTTGCGACCGATTAGGTTGTTGCTTTTGTAGTTCAGGACTTGCATAGTGTTGGTTGCTTTCATGAACACTTTAGTTTTTAGGCCACCACCGTCTTTGCGGCAAACGAGGACATCCAGGAAGGTTAGCTGTTTGTTTCCCTCTTCCTCCTTCGTAAATGGAATGTCCGGGAAGACGGCGTTTAGACGTTCATTGAATGTCAGCACCTGATCCAGCTGAAGAAGGAAGAAGGTGTCGTCCTCATACCGAGCCCAGAATTTCAGTCTATGGTGTCGGAACTCCAGCGTCGCCCACCGTTGCAGGACCGCCTCTGCTATGAGTCCGGAAATAGGCAATCCCATGGGTGTGCCCTTCACCGACTCGTAGATAGTTCCGTTGAAGGTAAAGTACGTCTTGAGGCAGAACTTTAGGGGCCGGAGGATTTGGGCGTGCCCAAGACGATTCGCCCTTTCATCGTATTTCACTTGTAGGAGTAGTTGGATAGTCTCGATGGCCAGGTTCTGTGGAATGGAAGTAAAAAGGAACGTGACATCAAAGGATGGTGAGGAAAATGCACTGAGTAGCGTGTAGACAAAGTCCTTAAGCTTAACGCCCATTTATATTTCACCGTCACCATTATTTATTTTTCTTTCAGCAGCAGCACAAGCATCAGCATCATCTCCACCACCTCCACCACAATAATCACCATGTTCTTCTTTTCTTCTCATGCTTACTCTGTGCATGCATGCGAAGCTTACTTATCGGCGCACACACACCCAGGAAATTTTTGCCGCTCTTACCGTTGCTCATCTTCAGCTTATCTTCTTTTTAGCACTGCCAACCGACGCATTTACCCGAGAAATCATCAGTACAGTGTGTGTGTTGCGTGTGAGGTGGCAGATGATTGGACTGGGAGTCAGGGGGTACCAGCTCATTCTAATCCCCTGCTTAGGTGAATCTCTGAGCGTGTGTGAGGGGAATCAAATCGCGTTGCGGCGCGCGCACACGGGTTTGCTGACCCCCTTAGCCAGTGCGTCCTCCGTACTCAGATGACAGATCGGCTAGGCGGCGGCCTGTTGCAAGCGATGGGAGAGAGTTTGAGGTCGACGCTCAGCACTTTTGTTTCCTCACTAAAAACACTATGATGCGTTTGAACGTTGCGCTTTGTAGAGGCTATATCACTACAAATATACAAAACGTCTTAGCAAATACGCA